CCTTAATTGTAGCAATTAAATTCAAAATTCCAAAATAAATCACAACTTGAAGATTTGCAAACCCCATAACCCATATTAATTTCACAGAAAGCAGTGGGATTTCTCCCACCCTTCAAGAAATTTAAGTTTGAAACCCTCCCGTGATACCTATGGGTTTTTATTCACTAACTTTATTTGCACAACACACAACAATGATCCACTAGTCAACCACATTTTAGCCCAACATATTGAATGTATCTTGCTTGTGTTGTTACTTAAGGGTTCAACGTGTCATATGAACCTACAAAAATGGGTTACTTGAATAAACCATATTTCAGATAATCATAGGGAAATGTGCAGACATAATGGTTTTGTTTAGAATGTAAAATATTCTCTTAGGACTTGCAGAGAAACAATTTACATTAATCTTACGTGCTCAAATACACAAAAACCGAAAGCCCTCAACAGTAGAGTCCATTTTCAGTAATTAAAGATCTTAGGAAGGTTTCTAACTAAACATTTCAAAATGAAGTTATTACCATAAACATCCACATGTTTATAACTCTGTGAGTACTACACCAGAAGCTGAACATTTATCTTAACACTTTAAAGAGTATCACATGAGAAATGTTGGAGTAAAAGAAATAGAAACTGGAATTAAATCTCTTAAGAGGCCTATCAGCAACTTCAGATATGGTTTGAAAGCAAAGTGAAAGGAAAGAAACACGTTTTAAAACAGAAAAAAAGGAGAAAAACCTATTTCCTGCTCAATATATGAAAATACTGTAAACCCCAACATATAATGTACATGTACGTCCAATGTAAATAGGCAGACAAAAAAAATGGAAATGCTGTAGCAAAAGACTATCTTTCTGGCTCAAAAAAATACATGGGGATGATGATTGTAGCCATGGAATAAAGAGATATCTGGTGCGGAAACATTTTGACATAAAAAGAACATTTTGTCAAAGCTATGATTTCCCCACCTATCACATACAGCTATGGAAATTAGCAATCGGAAAAGTTGAATAAAGAATAATTAATTCCTTTGAATTGTGGTATCACTAAAAATGGTTGAGAATACTCTGGACATTTTAGAACAGAACAACCCAGTACTAGGCAGAAAAACTAGATGGCTCACTGAAAATATTAATAATAAAGCTAAAGCTTATTTGGAACATAATATGTATAGACAAGAATCAATGGAGAAGCCCCTAATGCTTGAAAAATGGAAGGTAATTGAAAATGAAGCTGGCAAAAGACAATGTGGCTAAACTATCACACTTATAATGTGAGCATTGGTTTAAAACAGTGGTTCTCAACCTGTGGGTCAGGACCCCATTTGGGGTCGAATGACCATTTCACGGGGGTCGCCAAACAACGCAATCCGCCATTTTTCCCCCCTTTTCCTTAGCTGTGCTACTTCCTTTTATTCTATTGGCTTTTGAAAGCCAATAGAATAGACCAGCGGTTCTCAACCTGTGGGTCGCAACCCCATTTGGGGTCGAATGACCATTTCACGGGGGTCGCCAAACAACGCGATCCGCCATTTTTTTTCGTCAGCCAGCACAGGGGGCGGTGCCGCACATGAGCGCTGTGCAGGGGGTGGCGCATGGGGGCAGTGCCGTGCATGCGTGCTGTGCAGGGGGCGGCACAGGGGGCAGCGCCGTGCATGCGTGCCGCACAGGGGGCGGCACAGGGGGGCGCCGCTGCGCATGCGTGCCGCAGAGTTGGCGCCGCTGCGCATGCTTGCCACGCAGTTGGCGCCGCCGCACATGCGCGCTGCCTGCTTATGACTGGGATTGCCGTATAAAAAGGTTGAGAACCACTGGAATAGACTCTCTTGAATAGAGTCTAATTCTATTGGCTTTCAAAAGCCAATAGGATTGTCCAGGCTGTCTCTGCCCTGCTGAGCCCGCCAAAAGTCCCATTCTGCAAATGGTGCTGCACCAGTTGAATAGTCCTTGACTTACGACCGGTTGAATAGTCCTCGACTTATGACCAGTTGGGGGTCATGGCATTAAAAAGGTTGAGAACCACTGGTTTAAAAGAACTCAAAAGAGCAGTTATTCACAGATAACTTTGGCAAAATGTCCTTTGGGTTACAATGAGGCAGAAGTGGCTGGATGACTAAGCCATTTAATAATTACTGAAACAGTGAGACGATTGCTTCAATAGGACTGGAATTGTATTAAAGTAATTTTAATATATTAAGATAAAAATAGAAAAAAGATGTATTGTACCATATGTAAATATACAAATAAATGAATGAATGATATCATTCTTATTATATATAATCCATAGTCTTTTGTCCTCTTGGATTATTTCAATGTTCTCTCTCTCTCTCTCTCTCTCTCTCTCTCTCTCTCTCTCTCTTCTCAATAAGCATGGCAGTTTTTCAAAGGACAAATGAACATCACTTTCCAATATAACTGTTTGCTTCTCTGTAGCATGATTCAGACTGAGGTACTGTGAATTTTAAGGCTAGGAAAGAAGGTCTGCTAGGACAGAAAGCAGTTATCCATAGTGTAGTAAAAATAGGGGAACGTTGCTTTACGTGCAATAAAAAATAGTTGCTTTCTGTCCTAGCAGACCTTCTTTCCTAGCCTTAAAATTCAAAGCAACTCAGTTTGAATCATGCTACAGAGAAGCAAACATTTATATTGGAAAGTGATGTTGATTTGTCCATCTTCTGAGCCATTTCTGGTGAACTGCCAAAACCTCCATGCCTGTAGAATGATTTATTTATTTGGAACCGCCACTGAACTAATCAGCAGAGTTATTAATTAATACAAATCTGCATTTCTGCAGAAGCAATTAGTGCAAGGAGAAGGTACAGTGGGGGGGGGGGAAGGAAGTTGGGATTGTTTAATCTCAGCAACTATTCAAGCGGAAAAGCCCACTAGGGCAAGAGTGAGGCCTATCCATATTTGGAGTAGCCTTCTTTTGATGAGTTACAAAAATATAAAGGTCATATTATCAATATTTAATGGAAATGGAAATGAGTTTATTAAAGAAGACGTGCCAGAAAGTTGTGGGGGGGGGGGAAACACATCATATACAATATTTTTATTTATTTAAAGAAAGTAAAGTAAATGTATCAAAAATAATGACATAGTCCAGCTACAAATCTTGTCTGACAGTATTCCAAATCTCCTATCAAAAGAGCCGTAGAAAGGTATTGAAGAAAAGAGGTCTGTTTGGTTTTGGCAAGACAATTGTGTGCCTTACATTCTTCTATATATACGCAATCACAGTTCCCATTTTAAGAGATGATTAGTCATCATCCCCTTTTAAAATCAAACATAAGTTTTTGCTTTTAAAAAAATCTGTTGTGATTTCGTAATTGTATGTCAGTGACTAAAAGGCTGCTTTAGCATACTAATAATTACAACCTTTAAACAATATAATTTAACAAGGGAAGGGGGAAAGAAGAATCATTCATTAAAATAAAGAATTACAGAGGTATGGGGGGGGGGACACAGGGAAACCTCCACAAAGATTTGTTGTTTTGTTGTTTAAAATAGGATTATGGTAAATGCAGGAAAGACGCATGTTATATAGACTCACGTCTATAACAGCCATATCAGTTTCTGTTGTGGTTTCTATGATGGTTTGTTTTCCTAAAGAAGACATTTCCATGATTGCTGTTAATTGTTTTTCAGATCAGAACTGGGTATTTTTGCCACTTCATAATTCAGGGGCAACTATAATAAAATCCAAATAAATGTTCATACATAAATGTGAAATGTACTTTCTGTAGGTCAGTGTAGTTTCTCAACATACATATCAGACTTAAAAAAAAACCTGATTCTGATGTGATAATTTCAGGTAAATATGACTCTGAACAAATTTCAGAATAAAAATCAGTCTGAATTGTTATTTCCGATTTGCTTTAGCACCCTATTTGTGCAAAACCATATAAAATCCTTACTTAGGGGTTAATCCAATTCTTTTGATTCGCCTTCGAGAACTTTCCCCACATAGGAAGTGTATCTAAAAGCAACACACTTCCGCGTTTTTTGTTTTGTTTCTTTTATGTTGAATTGGAAATTCAAGAGAACCTGGGCATTAAAACGCAGAGAAACCATTTATGGTTTTAGGTATTACCTACATTTTAACCGCGTACCTCTTACCTCTTCTAGTATATTCTCAAACAAATGTACATAGGCAGGAACTACTTTCCGGAACTACTTTCCTTTTCTTTTAAAGAACTCCTGTTAATAGAGGCCAAGCTGGACTTCGCCGTCCCTGGGAGCAGCGCCCTTCGCCAGCAGGACAAGCTGAGCCCATGAGCTGTCCAAGGTCCTGATTTCCCGCTTTCTCTTCTTTTTTCAAAATGACTAATTGGCAGTTGCTTATCCACGAAGTGTGTTTCGCCCGAGGATATTTTTCTCATGCACCGCCCCACTCAATTTAGCCGAGCTGATTAAACCCAGCAAAATCGATAAAATCACCTTTGTTCGTCGAGGCTCTCAGCTGTTACCTGGCTCCCTACCTACTTTTCTTTCAAACTGGCTGCCTCCGTAACTCTCATTAAAATAAAGAGTCAAGGCCTAAACGTTGAATCACTTTTCAGTGAACTTCCAGTGCACTTCTTGGGGCAAAATATGCGCCTTCTATGTATATTTTCTATACGTTTGTTACATGATATTGTTATATCAGTGAGTTTTGTTTAATTGTTTCCTTGCTTGAAAAAAAAACACGTCCTAATCTTCTCCAACCAACTTAAGTTTTCACAAAAGGTTGGGGAACCGTGTTTCTTGTTGTCTGCTGCGGATCGTAAATCACTCGATATAAGACAGGCTTCCTCTTTCCAATAGCCGTAAGCTATTATAGGAAGGGGGAGGAGAAGGAGAATCCTCTCTCTCTCTCTCTCTCTCTCCCTCTCTCTCTCTCCTTTTCGCTCGTTCATTCTCGCAGGTGCAATATGAATCAATTATCTTAATTAAGATAATGCCACAAACCCAAGAGATTTCCTTGGGATGGATTTTGCACTCCGGACAACCGTAAGGCATTTTAATAGCCTCTCTATTGCCTCCCGCCCCGCCTTTTCGCTTGATTCCTACGAAGGAGTGATTCTTGGCGTGTTCGGGCACCAAATACTTAGCTATCCGCGGAACAGAATTTGTAAAGGAAAAGGTGCATACAAATTCTGCCTTCATCTGCTCGAGCTTTAACTATTCCGCCGGTCGTCCGAAGCTATTCGGACTTCGAACTAATAAAGGCGCTGGACTTGTCCGGAGGGAGATGCTTAAAAGTCACTTAAAAGCAGGTGAGAGAAGGGATGAGGCGCCGTTCTTTAAAAATGGAACAAACGAGCGTCTGTTGGAGAGGATCCCGAGGCTCTGGCAAGGACTGGCCTCGCTTCGTCAATCCCTCCCGGCCTCCCGAAGCTTCCCCCGTCCCTCTGGCTGTTGCTGTTCACTTGGGGCAAAGAGCTGTAAGCGGCAGATGAGCTGCAAGCGGGCAGTCGAGGGGAGAGCGGATTTGGGACGCGGCAGAAGGGGGCGGTGAGCCGTGAAAGAGGCTTTTGTTGAGGACGCGTGTAGCTCGCGTGGCGCTCGGTGGGCGCGCGTCCTGGAAAGGAAACGGGCGGAGAAAGGGGGGGGGTGGCTGCGGGTAAAGTCTGGGGTGCCTGTTATATATGCAAGAATGATCTCGGGGAAGGAGGGGGCGGAGGCAGGCACAGAAGATTCCCAGGGAAAGGGGCTGCTGGAAACTGGTGTGCCTAGCGCCCATCCTCCAGGTAGCTTACTTAGAAATTAGCTCCCCCGACCCACCCCCCAGCTTTCTTGTAAGCAAATCTGGAGTTTAGAATCTAGGCTTGGGTGCGGGGGAGGGGAGAGCTATTTGAAGTTAGTGAATGAAACGCTGATTGCAGGAGTGGACGAGAATTTTCACACTAGCCATTCTTGGCGTCGTTTAGCCGTCAGCGTGGTGATACAATGTGGGCAGCAAGTTGTCGAGGGCTGTACAGCCTGATGTTATTTTTCAAAACATACCCGAGAGATACGAATGGGGGAAAAAACATTAGAATTCTTTCTTTGGGATTAAAGTCGACAGGCTAGAGTTGGGTTTTCTTGTGATTTAGGGATGAATAAGGGAGGCGGGAGAATTTCAGAGAATCAGAGCTCTTTCACCAGCCTCCTTATCAGTATCAGTATGGGGGGGGGGAACCCTAACAGCACCTTTAAGTAATGCTGTTCGTATCTTTTCCAACACTGTTAGTGGAGTCCAGAATTAAAAGAGTTGGAACCTGAGGTACAACAAAGGCAAGAATCCAGATCTCAGTCCTTGGTGAGGCTCGAAGCTGACAGATTCCAAAAGTTTAAAGCTTCCCATACTGTCACCAAAACTGTGACTAGGTCAAGGATTAGAATGCGAAACATTTGGAAGTTGCTTCCCCGAAACCTTTGCTAATGGGCAGGAAAAGCTCACTTAGCTCTTCTTTGCCTTCTCTTCTCTTGTCCTGAAGAAGATTTGGTTGGCGTTGATTTGCGCTCTCTTTCTCCTCTCTCTCTTTCTCCTCTCTATCTCATGGGGGCATGAAGGACTGTTTTAGATGGCCACCTTGGGCCCAGTTAGAGTGGAGCTGGTGATGGTGTGGTGTTAGAGATTAAGGGAGGGAGGAGGAATGAGATCATACACTAGGAAGGGGATCGTTTGCATAGCCAGCTTTCACGAGCTGTTTGCAGCCTTATTTGGATGACCCACAGAAATATGTAGACTTGCAGGATTAATCGGCAACCATAGGAAAGCAGCCATTTCGGCCTTGTAAAGTACCACAATAACTGGGATAATGGGGTAAAACCTCTAACCTTTCTTTGAAGAAAGCACAAACTATGAAAGAGAACTCCGATGGTCTTCCTTCCTTCCTTCCTTCCTTCCTTCCTTCCTTCCTTCCTTCCTTGTTAAAAATGTTGCCAATAATCCTGAATACAATACAATCAGTTTACTAATTGTTCTTGTTCAGTATGTTTTTGTTCTTAAAAGAACCAGTTCTTTCTTTTAAGAACAAAAACATATTGAACAAGAACTTTGTACTTTGTAACTTTGTTACCTGATAGTTATAAAACTAGTACTTTTAAAAATAGGTTATTTTCTTTTTCTGACCTTCCCTCCCACCTCATTCTCGTTTTCTGCAAAAAATGTTCTCTAAATAAATCTCCTGAAGTGGGGATCTAACGTCTCCTACCTGTTCAAAAACATATTTCTTATTTTTCTTCGCCCCTTCTTCAGGGCTTAACTTTGGGGATGAAGACTGGCGAATTGCTTGATTGCAAAAAAAATGTTGAGTCCGGTTTCTTTTCTGGAGGGGACAACACCCTCCCCCCACACCCAAGCAAAGCGACAGGAAAGAAAAACAAGCGGGCCGGACCCAAAGGTCTCTGCTGGCATTGGACTAATCTTCGAGACAGAAGGGACGCGGGAAGAAGGAACCGCCCGTCTTTTTTCGGGAGGGAGGACCGGAGGACAGAAGGAGGAGGATTGTCTCCGGCGCCCAGTTCATCTGGATTTCTGTATAGGTGAGGGCGCGGGGGGGGGGGCTCTCAGGATCGCTTCTCAGGAGATGAGAGTTGGAGAAGAAGCCCGAGGAGGAGGAGGAGGAGGAGGAGGAGGAGGAGGAGGAGGAGGAGGAGAGCAGCAGCAGCAGCAGCAGCAGCAGCCGTCTTGTCTCTCACCTGGGCAAATTGCCTATCCCCTTCGCGTCCTACCCCCCCCCCCCCGAACAAAACAAGTTGATATTCGGAGTGGTGTTCACATTTGGGGGGGGAGGATCAACGGAGGGGGAGAGAAATCTGTTCCTCTTTCCATTCTGTAGAGAAAAGCCAGTCTGTCGTAGAGTGGCAAAGTGCAAGTTGCAAGCCCGGCCTTCCCATCCCCTCCCCTTCCTTCCCCAACAACCCCAAGCCAGGCGCAGGAGAACGGGTTAATCTCTCCTGCGGGTACAAAACAGGTCCGCAGAGTCTCCAGGCTGGCGACAGATGGCCACTTTCTTCGGGCCACAAAGGGATGGACGGGAGAGCGGGGCGGCATACAAATGGGCAGCTCACGTGACACTGCCAAACACCCCCCCACCCCCCGCTCCTCTCCCCGCGCCCGCCGCCTCGGAGCCTGACGTGGGTGACCAGATGGCGCGTGCCGGGGGAAGGCTGACGCGGTCGCCGAAGAAGTGGGTGGGGAGCGAGGAGGCGGGGCTGGCCGTTCCACCGCCCCTCCCCTTCCCAAGCAGCCCAAGTCTGGCTATATAACCTGAGCCTCTTACCCGCGGCTTCAAAAAAAAAAAAAAAATCATCATCATCATAATCATAATCATAACGGAATCAATGAAGTAAATGAAAGGTAAGCCATCCGTGCGCCCAAGGAAAACGTCCCGGAAGCAACAGGGTTATGAAACCTGCGCTGCAGAGGACACGCTGAAAAAAGAGAGAGAGAGAGGAGAGGTAATTTTTTCCCCCTTGTATGTCTAGATTAGGGTGGGAGAAGCGATACCTGGGATGCAGGCGATCCTGATGTTCGGGGTGATCACGCCTTCGCCCTTTTGAGCTTGCTTTCGACCCATTCGCATCAAACCCAGAAGAAGAGCCGTTGAACTGATAAGCTCTTGGCGTCCCGTGGTGGCTTCCAAGAGGTTTACTTCGGAGTGGAAGTTACACTATGTCCGGTGCGGCTCGTTTCCTAGAAAACATTGCAAAAACCTCTAGACTTATCCTTTCTCTCTGCCCCCCCCCCACTTTCGATTACCGAAGTAAGCCTTGCGGCGGGAGGGTGTGTGTGTATGAAACAGATATGACGCATAGCATCTTCTCCGTGGCTCAGAAGCTGGCTGACACCGATTTGGGGGAGCGAAACGAACCAGATAGACTCCCCCCCCAGGCTGGACGAAAAGGGCTGTTTTCTAAAGTCAGGGTCCTTGTTTTGAAAAAGCGAGATTGATGGTGGCGATGGTGATGATACAGTTTAGAGCAGAGAGCGCTCGAGTGAACAGATTTGGTAAGCTCTGCTGCCAATTAATGCGTTTGGGACAGGGCTTGACTTGACAATCTGGATGAGTAAAGGGCTTCCGAAGTCAACTACCAACACTGGCTCAACTGTTGCATTTTGATTGCCCCATGCTTGTCCTGACTGGCAGGCTTCATTCCATACCCCAGCCCCCCCCCCCCCGCGCGCTCCGTACCATCCCCTCCATTTCCTCATTAACAAATGTTTCCCCAGAACATTGAGGTTCCTCAGACAAAAAAAGGGGGGGCAGGGGGAATTATTAGGCGGTTAGTGCACCTGATCCCTGTCTCGGTGGCAGGGTTTTCCTCGACTCTGAACAGTTGGGAAGTCTGTAAAGCTATTGTGCAGGATGGCATCGGCTGCTATTGTGGACAGGCGAAAGCAATGAAAAGGAGAGCCGAATAAAAGAATAAATCCTGCTCCTGCTGCCATGGATAAATTATTATTGGCAATTTGCTCCACTGGATCCACAGCCTGGGTGTGTTTGAAATGCAATTCGACCCCCCTCTTGGTTAGCGCCCTCGCCTATAAATCCCTTTAAAACATTACATAACGCTATTTGAGACAAGAGGTGTCATCGTGAAGAGAAATACGAGAACTAGAAGTTTGTTGCGTAAAGGCATCAAGAGTAAGTTTCATTGCTGGACAGTGTCCCTCGGTTAGTTTAGTTTTAAAAACTAAACTAAAAAAATTATGGGATTTAACTTAGAACCGTAGTGTCCCTGAAGTTGCAGGTGTAATGGGAGCTGTAATGAGATCCAGTCGAAGCAAAGACTGGATTTTTTTTAGAATGAAATTGTACTGGACAATGCTTCCGGTGCACAATCTTTGAGGGTTACCCACAAAAACGTTTCACGAAATTAAGTAACACTTACTTCCTAGGAAGCATGCTTGCAGAATATTATGTGTACATATATGCAGTGTGTGTGGCGGTTTTAAATGTTTACTTCTTCTTGGCCTAGGGTACTCAGAATGACCAAATCATACCGTGAGCACCCACTGATGGGAAAGCCTCAGTCCCAAGGTAACCCCAGTTGGACTGACGATTGCCTCAGCTCTCAGGACGACGAACATGAGATGGACAAGAAAGAGGAGGACCTGGAAACTTTACAGGCAGAGGCTGATGTCGAATCTCTGAGAAACGGGGAGGAAGAGGAGGAAGAAGAGGAGGATGAGCTAGAGGACGAGGAGGCAGATGAAGACGAGGAGGAGGTAGAGGAGGAGGAAGAAGGCGAGGAGGACGACCCAAAGCCCAAGAGACGGGGTCCCAAGAAGAAGAAGATGACGAAAGCGCGGATGGAGAGATTCAAGCTGCGGCGAATGAAGGCCAACGCCCGCGAGCGGAATCGCATGCACGGTCTCAACGCCGCGCTGGACAACCTGCGGAAAGTGGTGCCCTGCTACTCCAAAACGCAGAAGCTGTCCAAGATCGAGACGCTGCGCCTGGCCAAAAACTATATTGGGGCCCTCTCCGAGATCTTGCGTTCGGGCAAGAGCCCCGACTTGGTCTCCTTCGTGCAGAGTCTCTGTAAAGGCTTATCTCAGCCCACGACCAACCTGGTGGCCGGCTGCCTCCAGCTCAATCCGCGGACCTTCCTGCCTGAGCAGAATCCGGAGCTGCTGCCTCACGTCCAGCCCACCAGCGCTTCCTTCCCGGGCCATCCCTACCCCTACCAGTCGCCCGGCCTTCCGAGTCCTCCCTACGGCACCATGGACAGCTCCCATCTCTTCCATCTCAAGGCGGCGCCCGCCTACGGGGCGGCGCTGGAGCCCTTCTTCGAGAGCGCCCTGGCCGAAGGCGAGAGCCCTGCTTTCGACGGGCCCCTCAGTCCGCCGCTCAGCGTCAACGGGAATTTCTCCTTCAAGCACGAACCGTCCAACGAGTTCGAGAAGAACTACGCCTTCACCATGCACTACCCGACCGCCGGCCTGGCCGGAGCTCCCGGCCACGGCTCCATCTTCGCCTGCTCGGCCTCGCGCTGCGACCTCCCTCTCGACAGCCTCCTGCCCTACGAGAGCCAAGTCCATCACGAGCGGGTCATGAGCGCCCAGCTCAACGCGATCTTTCAGGACTGAGCCCTTCCAGCCGCTAAGGCGGAACCAGGATGCTCGCGGCGGCCACGGACTCCGGTCTCTACTCGTTTGCAAGCAAGGGCGCAAAGGCGGAGGGAGTGGAGAAAAAGGAATAACGCTTCCAGGCTTCAGAGTCCCCCTGATGCGTACTCTACAGTAGTTATCGCCTTCAGGAGCAACGGAGAGGCGGACATTCGCCTGGGCCCGCCAGTCATCTCGCCCTTTCCTCCCTCCCGCCACTCCGAATCTTGAGATGGTGTTGATTAGATAAAGTTCGGCTTCTCCTTGATTTGATCGGCACCACAAACCACAAGCAATAATTAGGATCTATGCAATGTTTTTTTTTTTTTAAAAAAAAAAACCTAAACCGGTCAGTTACAAAAAGAAAGAAATGAAAGAAATTAAAAGTATATATAAAATTTATATTTTTCAATCAACATTTTTCCTACTTGTTACCTTTCCCGTGTTGGCTTACTTTGTTGTGATTTTTGTACAGAATTTTTAATAACTTTTGATAAACTATTTTGAATCAGGCAGCTCCATCAATTTTTATACCTATCAGAAACAAAGTAGAATAATATCTAATTTATATAGAATAATTTAAGTAATTTAAACCAGCAGAAAAATACTTCGAAGAACAAGGGAGAAAAAAGCTGTTTGTTGCCTTAGCATCTCCCCCATTCAATTTCTTTCTAAATCTTCACACAGACACAGGCACAGACATACACACAGAGACAGACACAGATACACACACACACACACACACACACACACACACACACACACACACACACGGCATAGACACTCCTACAAAACTTTTCTTTTATGGGGGGTAAGAAAACCTCTATATAATTTTCATTTATAAAGATACTTGAAAGGATGAAAGAAGGAAAAATATTTATTTCCTATTAACTATATTGACATATTATTCCAAGAGTTCTGTAAAATTGTGTGTGTGTGTGTGTGTGCATGCGAACATACACCCTTGTTCTCATGAGCAACTATCCTGCACTTATCCACAGAAAACAGCTGCTTTAGAATCACATTCAACTTGCAATGTTTTTTAAAGCTCTTTGGAGTCCACCCTAATTTCTTTCAGATTTTGAAGAAACTGCAGATAAAGAAACATTGTTTCCATGCAACGTTAAATGCATGATTTTTAAAATACATAGTTATATAATTTTTTTATTTCTGTCCAGGAGGAAAAAAGTAAAAAGATTTATGATCGTTGGGTTATATTATATGCCAATTGTAGTTAGCAGTTTTCAAACTAGTGCAAACCATTTGACTTTGTAATTAGAACATGATAGTTATGCATGCACAATGCAACCCAGAGTAAGTGCTGTCTGAAATGTAATGCTGGTTCATCTGAAATCAATCTGTACTGTAATTTTGTTTGTAATCCTGTATGTGACAGCGTAATGCACATTTGGAATGTTAAAAAACAAAACAAAACACAAGCTGGGTGATGAAGTAGTGAAGAGCCATTGGTCAAATGTTGCATTTCTCCCCAAGTCCCTTGCTCCATTCCTTCCCCTTCCCACAATTCCTATGGGATTATTGTAATAGTTATTAAAAGATGCAACTATTTGTACAATAAAATGAGGTTTGAAAAAATCCCGAGGTGCGATCCAGTAAATCAGCAGACACATTAAACTACAAAAAGACTATCTGAAATGGAGGCTTCAGCAAGCATGTTTTCAGCTCCAGTCTAATAAAGTATGAAAAAGGCAGCCTGCTGAATCATCCCGAGGCCTGCATAATTGACAGCTCTTCCGTAATAGAATACAATACACAGACAGTAGTAGGATGAGAAGGCAAATTGATTAAGGCCACGTCTTCAATGATCAAATTGTGGAGATGTCCACTGTAGTTGAAGCTGGAAGTCCCACACTATGTCTTGGAAGTATTCTTCATTACCCTAAAAGGAAAGTGAAGAAGAGTTAAAAATTTAAGGGAAAGGAAAAGGTTTATCTTGTTACAACTGTTATGAATGACTTCATAAGACTTTAAAAGATACTCTGATGCATCTCAAAGTAAACTGAAATAAGGGTTGGTTAATCCTCCTCTCTGGAGCAGATAGGGTTTAGTTCCACTCTTGCAAATGACATCAAGATTGTACAGATACATTGACAAGAAGTCACAGGGTTGTTGCTCCAACTTATATTCACAAATAATGATTAGTAGACGTTTTCCGTAACACTTGATGTGAAATAATTATCGATACCAAAGTGAAGGTCTTTCTGACCGAAAAAAACATATATAGGAAAATAAGGAAAAGATTTTAAAAAGTAAAGATCTGAGTAAAGTATGAGTTCCCAGATGTTCTAGAACAAACATGATCTCCATTCAGTTTCAGCACCAGTTCCATTTTCTCAAAATCAAGTGGATGTCACTTGGAATACACTAATATGAACAATCCTCTACAACAGTGGTTCTCAACCTTTTTAATGCCGCGACCCCCAACCGGTTGTAAGTCGAGGACTACTCAACCGGTCGTAAGTCGAGGACTATTCAACTGGTGCAGCACCATTTGCAGAATGGGACTTTTGGCAGACTCAGCAGGGCAGAGACAGCCTGGACAATTCCTATTGGCTTTGGAAAGCCAATAGAATTAGACTCTATTCAAGAGAGTCTATTCTATTGGCTTTCAAAAGCCAATAGAATAAAAGGGAGTAGCAAAGCTAAGGAAAAGGGGGGGGGAAATGGCAGACTGCATTGTTTGGCGATCCTCGTGAAATGGTCGTTCGACCCCAAATGGGGTCCCGACCCACAGGTTGAGAACCACTGCTCTACAATGATGTTTGGAATTAATTTCTTCTCTTTGATGATGACATGCATATCAATAATGCTTGTAAACTAGCATGTGAGTGAAGATACAGTTCCTCAAAAGTAGGCTTTACAACACAAGGATGGGTATCCCCGTCAACTGTATTAGCTTGAGAGAAATATTATTGCACTGGACAACATCAAAAGGACAAAACTAGCTAAGTATCTTCTTGCATCTCATTCATGTTTTTAGAAACCTGTGCCTGAATAGGACATTACAAATCAAGAGCTTGGAAAGTACATTTTTAATTTTCCTGACTTTAATGGATTTAAACTAGATGAAGTGACACCCATGGGACATTGATAGTAAATATAAATTAAAGAATAATTTCAATATCCTGATGAAGGGAAGGCATGGGAGTGTTTATAGACCATGTGATTTTCATTAAGAAGCTCCCTGTTATATCTCCAGTGGAAAAGAATCCAAATAACACTGATAACCCAGAAATTAGAATATATATTGAGTTAAACAGACAAATAAAATGACCTATTATTATTTTCCAAAAATTCAAGCTATATTGACTTCCAAGAAAAGGTGCTGGCTAAAATCCAATCAAATTTAAGTATCCTCAAATTGTAAATGGAATATTGATATAAAAGCATATTGACTTGCACAAGATAATTTACAGATCTCTTGTATCCATGTTTCAGTCATTAGGAAGACTAGAATTGATAAAATGTCTGCAACCATAGTTAGATTACTCTGTTAACAGTTATCAGGAAACTACATAAAAGACAGGGTTCCACTTATGGAAGCCACACTCACTTCCATCTTCCAACAGTGATTCAAATCCACAGACTCTATATAGTGAGTTTTCTTTAAAAAAAGCCTACCACATGATAGTTATCCATAGTCTTCTTTTTCATTTTTATTATAAAAAGCTGGTTTGCTGTGCTGAAACGTGTATATGTATCATCTACTTACTTATGAATACTAGTTGTGTAGAATTATTGGTATCTGTGTCAATTTTAAGCTTTCTTCTGAGAAACCAATTCATAATCTATATGAATATCAATGGGATTTGATAGCAAAGCACACCCTTTTTCTTGTTTCCTACAGTATAGAAATCTAGCCATTCTTTCCCCTTGAAAGCTGATTTTATTGTCTAGTTTTTTGCAGGACCAGCAAAGGTCCCCAAAGAAACAAAGGACTCTATTTGAGAAAACATCACCTTTTTCTCTTCCAGATGAACAGATTAGGTCTATCTGATCTTAAATTAGGTGGAATATGTGTCTACTTCTTGCATTAGGTGTTCTCTGTTTCCATACAACCTGGTTAATGAATAAGCCCATCTTCTGGGTTTGGACAAGCCACTGAACTTTAACATGACAAATGGGTTGGGTTTGCACAATATGTTAAACCCATAAAGAACTGTATCTTTATACTGCATCGTTTTATCTGCTAAATCTTTATTTGAACTGATTAAGTATCTAGTGTGAACACAAATAACATATGCTATGCAAATTATAGGAGTGAGCAAGGATAATGATGGAGAAAAAAAGATCTTTGATTTAAATTGGATGGATAGTGCACAAGAAAAGCCAACTTAAATGTGCTATTTCACTACTGTCAATGTAGCAAATGGCTCTAATAATGTCCTGGGCTGCCTATTTGTGATACATTGAATTGGGCTTGGCATCTATTCTTAATGCTTAGCCTATACATCTGGTAGGCAATTCTATATCATCCTTAGTTAAGATCTGAAGTTTTGATTTTTAACCATTCAAGTTGCTCTTCTGCATTCCCCAAATGGGGAATTTGCTGCTGTTTTATTCCTATTATTTCTGCATGTTGATTAGAGCCTTTTATGCACAATAAATGTGGAGGCATCAGCCTTTAATTATTTGTTTATTCATCACATTTGTATACTTGCCCATCTCACATACACGACTCTGAGTGGTATACAATAAAAATGTACATTGATAGCTTGGATGGTGCCATCAATGTTGCAGTGCATTTCTAGTTGTTTTATCTTGTATATTTGTCTTTGCTACTGATAGAACATAGGATTATAACTAATTGATGCCAAAGCAAGATCATTGTTCTTCACCTGAGTTTATGACTCATGAGGGATTTGAACCAAACTCATTCTTTTAGTATTACACGAGTGAAGATATGAGAAAAGAGCAGTAATAATATATAGAAGGCAAATTTGATAAAATGATAGTCATTATTACAAATGAAGGCAAATATATGTGTCCCAGAATAACGTTGCAGGATCCAATCTGAGTCAGTCATCAGGACCAGAGTTTTAGTCTTCCAAGTTTTTGGACTTGTGCTGGAGCCAATCCTTAGGGAACTTCTCTCTTTCAGAATGTTGGGCTATGACATGTTATTGTTGATTGGGGTGTTGATGGCCAGTTATTAAGTTGTTGGTGTTATTTCCTTGTGCTGCCAAGTTCTCAGTTCCTAAATACCTGACAAGCTGGTACAGCACTCCTGTTGACTGATATAACCTTCAATAATTTCCCTGGCTATTTTTGTATCTACTCAGTCAACAATTTTAGTAGCTGCAAAATTGGATGCATGTCCTTATTCGTTGCAATGTGAGGCTACCAAACAGTTCAGGTCTGCTTGTCTGACCGCTCACTTGTGTTCAAACCACCAGATTGCAAGAACACAAGCACACGCTTGTTTGGTAGTGTGGAGAACAGATGAGGTTGGAGAATGCCACAATCATTTGTGAAGATCTAGCCCAGTGGTTCTTAACCTTTTTAATGCCGTGACCCCCAACCGGTCGTAAGTCGAGGACTACTCAACCGGTCGTAAGTTGAGGACTACTCAACTGGTGCAGCACCGTTTGCAGAATGGGACTTTTGGCGGGCTCAGCAGGGCAGAGACAGCCTGGACAATTCCTATTGGCTTTTGAAAGCCAATAGAATTAGACTCTATTCAAGAGAGTCTATTCTATTGGCTTTCAAAAGCCAATAGAATAAAAGGGAGTAGCACAGCTAAGGAAAAGGGGAAAAAATGGTGGACTGCATTGTTTGGCGACCCCCGTGAAATGGTCGTTCGACCCCAAATGGAGTCCCGACCCACAGGTTGAGAACCATTGATCTAGCCCAACTGGCAGTGGAGACTGATTGTTTTTGGCAGCTGCTTCTTCTGAAGTTGTGATGGGGTAAATATGTTGTTCTCCACACACATCTGAAATATTTAAGACAAGCTTAATGAAAGCAAATAAGATACTGAAGATTTCCAGTACTGTAGGCAAAAACAAAACAAAGAAAAACCAGAATAAAATAAGTTATAGAAACAAATAAAATATTGCAGTTCCCTAATTTAGCCATCTCAGATTACCTTCTTTTATTTTCAATGCAGATGGTGAACTCAAGGCAATTTACCTTTTCTGTCCCAGTAACTACATGGACTTGTCTATATAGTTGCCAGGAGTCAAGACTGACTGAATGTCACATATATGGCATTTGAGAAACAGAGAAGAAGCACCTTGCCTTAGTAAAGGAAGTTAAAGGAGACCTGTATCAAGGTTCATTCACTGAAAAGAGAAGATTGAATGCTTCTGCTTTCCTGTTTATTTCCTATCAAGAGTGGATGACATTTGAATGTAAATTAGCAATCTGAAGGTTCTACATCTGCTTACTCCAGTCCGGCTCTCATAAGTATTTAAGGGCTCTGGAAGAGGGAACAATAAGAGAAAAATGCCTTAAGATAGCATGAATAAGTAGCCTTATTTCTACTTTTCATGCATATCTCATCTTTCTTTTACAAATTTCAAAGAGTTATTTGGAAAATTCCCAGAAAGAAAAAGAAGAGCCTAATGTAGCAG